TCCACCCACCTATCCATCCATCCATCCATCCATCCATCCACCCACCCACCCACTCACCCATCCATCCACCCACCTATCCATCCATCCATCCATCCCACCTACTCTCCTACTCATCCATTCATCCATCCATTGATTCTTCCTTCCATCCATCCATCTACACAGCCACCTGTCCATCAATCCATCCATTCATCCATCAATCCATTCATTGATCCTTCCTTTCTTCCATCCATTCATCTGTCATCCATCCATGCATCCATCATCCAGTGATCCTTCCTTCCTTCCATTTATCCATGTATCCATTCATCGATCTTCCTTCTACCCACCCATCTACTCATCTATAGATCCTTTCTCCCTGTCTTCCTTCCATCCTTCCATCTGTCTATTCATCCATCCATCCATATCCATCCTTCTGTCTGCTCACCTACCCATCTTCCATTCATTTAATCTACCTATCCATTCACTCACCCTATCCACCCTGCCATCCACATGCCTACCCATTCATTCACTCCATACTATTCTTTTGTCTATCAGCCATTCTTTTATCTATTTTTCCACTCACCTACCCATCCATTGATTCAAGTTTCCCTGAGCTCCTCCTCTGTGTGTGGAGCTGTGCTGGGTACTGGATAAACAGATATGAATCAGATGCAGGCTGTGCCCCGTGGGTTACCTAACCTCCCGAGGGAGGAGACTCTAGTGGACCATCACATGCAGCGAGACCCGCTCTAGGCCAGACAGTTGTACAGGGCAGAAAGGAGTGCATGGTCAGCCAGGTCTATCTGTGGGTGGGATGTAGTCAGTCAAGGAAGGCTCCCCAGAGGAGGCGGTAACTGAGCAGAGTCTTGGAAGGGGAGAAATTTCTCTGTTAGGATGAGAGTGTCCAGTGTGTGCAGAGATGCACAAAACTCTAAGGTGCATTTGGGGAGCTACAGAGCCCCTGCTGGCTGCCTCGGGCATGGGGTGATGGGAGGTGGTCAGGCAGGGCTGGAGTGGAGAGGGCCTTGAACACCATGACAAGGCATTCCACCTCAGCCATCTGCCTTCCTCCTCTGTCCCTACTCCTCACCCCAACCCTACTCACCCCCAAGATTGGGGGAAGACAAGAATGGTGAGTGTACCAGGAGGGAGTGGGGGAGGCTCCGCCCCCACACCCAGCAGCTAACATCTGTGCAGCATTCTAGCGGTGACGGAGGCAGCCCCAGGGTAGAGGCTGCTGGCACCCCTCTCCCTGGATGAGGAGCAAGGAGCCCAGCCGGCAGAGTGACTGGGGTGGTGCCGGGTGGTAACTGAGAGCTGGCAGTTACCGCCAGCTCACCTCCCAGCTCCTTAGGCAAGTAACTCAGCTCCTAAGAACCTCAGTCTTTTCATCTGTAAATGGGACATCATAGCAAAACCTGCCTTGTGTGTTCTGTAAGGCAGCTGGGAAAATTGCCTGAGATCCGGCACGTGTGGGCCTAGCACAGGCCTGGCACAGTGGGCTCCAGAGACAGCGTGTGCTGCCTTCACTTTGGCCGCAGCTTGAGACCAGGCGTGCCTGACCCAAAGCTCCCTATGTTTGTCCCGCCCAGGACTCACTGTTAGACATTCCCCGCTTTGCCCTGCTCCTCCCTCTGGCCTATCCCTCTTTCCCTTTCAACAAAACTTGAAACATCTGTCTACTTTTACGGGTCCCAGTTTCTCCCCTTCTGCTCTCTCTTGCCTCTACCCAGGCAGGCCCTGTCCCGGTTCACTGAAGCTATCCTTGTCACCAATGGTGTCCTGTTGTGGAGCCCAGTGACTGTCCTGGGGCAGGCCTTACCTTGCCGTCTCAGCACTAATTGGCTCAGCAGACCAGACCCCCTCCCTTCATGAGACCCTTGCTTCCGCCCTGGCTCCCCAGATGCCCTCCGCCCTGGCTCCCCTCCTGCCTCCCCAGCCGCCTCTCCTCAGCTCCCAGGGGTGAGTTCTCCCTGCTCCCCAGCCTCCTAACTCTGGGCTGTCCCCAGGCCGGTCCTCTGCTGTCCTTTCTCTGCACTCGCTGCTAAGGTGGCGTCACCTGGGTCCCTGGTGTTACCACCACCTCTGCATTCCTGACATGTGTGCCCCACAGCTTGGCCGTGCAATTTATGTTTGTGTCCTAATTTATAAAGGTGACTGAGTGACAGCACAGAGAGGTCAGAGCTACTGAAAGGAAAGTTCACCCTGACTCACAGTGCTCCTGGAGACCCAAAGGCGGGCATGCCCCACAGGGCCCTGGGGAAGCACCAGCGTCGGTCTGGAGGAGAACAGCAGGGGCCCAGGGCACAGCCTTTATTGGAGTTCCTGTGGGAAAGGCATGGCAGGGCCCGGGAGGCGGGCTGGGACCAGCTGGTTGGAATAATTCTGGTGGGCTTTGGGGCCAAGGGCCCAATCCTGGTTGTCTGGTGCCTGGCCCTGGCTCTGTTCCGGGCAAGGGGAATCTTGGCTTGGTGTGAGAGTTACATACAGCAGGTGGCTTGGGGGGTGGACTTGGGCTTCGTTGGTTTGTGTATCAAAGATGGACTCACTGACTGTGGTTTCTGGCCTCTAGGAATTAGCTCTGAAGTGCAGTCCAATGCCCAGGAAGTCCCTCAAGATAATAAAACTTCATGCAGTATAGAAAAGAATTCAGACATACTATACCATGTCCTCTGAATTCCAGACTTAAATATGCAGCTGGGTAATGAGCATTTCAAACCCAACACGCCCCACTCTCAACTCGACGGGCCCCAGATCTACCAGGCGTGCAGCCCCGGGCTCCAGCTGACCACAGGTGTTCAGACCAGGCACCTTGGGGTCACCCCTGGCTTCTCGCTTTCTCTCAAATCCACGTCTAGTCGGTGAGCAGATCCTGCTGTCTCCACCTTCAAAACTGACTACAGCCTGGCCAGGTGTGGTGGCTCATGCCTGTAATCCCAGCACTTTGGGAGGCTGAGGCGGGCAGATCACTTGAGGTCTGGAGTTCGAGACCAGCCTGGCCAACATTGCGAAACCCCGTCTCTACTAAAATAGAAAAAAATAGCTGGACGTGGTGGTACACTCCTGTAATCCCAGCTACTCAGGAGGCTGAGGCAGGAGAATCGCTTGAACTCAGGAGAGGGAGGTTGTGGTGATCCGAGATCGTGCCACTGTACTCCAGCCTGGGCAACAAGAGCGAAACTCCATCTCAAAAAGCCCCAAAAAACAAAAAACTGGGTACAGCCTGTTCACTGCTGCCCTCCAGCCCGAGTTTCTGCACCCCCGCACCCTCCCCCCCACCGACAGGTCTCCAGCGCTTGCCCTGGTTCCCCTCTGTCCTCTCCACATGGCAGCCAGGGAGAGCCTGTTCAGATGCCAGGCTGTGACTGCCCTGCACACACCTGCCCTGTTCAACCTGGAGTCACAGCCAAAGCCCTCGCCTGGCCTCCGCTGCCCTCATGATCTGGCATCACCCCTCGCGGACCTCTTCGTCTGTCCTGCCCATCACTCCCTCCCCTCCAGCCACACTGGCCTCCTGGCTGGGCCAGAACAGCGCAGGCCCACGACCGCTTCGGGCCTTCACACTCACCACGGCCCTGTCCAGCAAACCCCTCCTGTGCCCGGCCTCTCCTCACTGCTTCCTTCTTGCCTTGACTGAAAGGTCTTCAATAAATAAGCTATTGGTTTATTTATTTTTGAGATAGAGTCTCGCTCTCTAGCCCAGGCTGGAGTGCAGTGGCACGATCTCGGCTCACTGCAACCTCCGCTTATCCAGTTCAAGCGATTCTCCTGCCTCAGCCTCCCTAATAGCTGGGATTACAGGCTCCTGCCACCAAGCCTGGCTAATTTTTGTATTTTTTGGTAGAGATGGGGTTTCGCTATGTTGGCCAGGCTGGTCTTGAACTCCTGACCTCAAGTGATGCCTGCCTCGGCCTCCCAAAGTGCTGGGATTACAGACATGAGACACTGCACCCAGCCTAACACACTGTTTAAGTGGCAACTTGGGCCGGGCAAGGTAGCTCACACCTGTAATTTCAGCACTTTGGGAGGCCGAGGCGAGAGGATGGCTTGAGCCCAGGGGTTTGAGACCAGCCTGGACAACATGGTGAGACCCCGTCTCTAGAAAAAAAGAAAATAAGATTAGCCGGGCATAGCGGTGTGTGCCTGTAGCCCCAGCTACTCAGGAGGCTCAGGTGGGAGGATCATTTGAGCCCAGGAGTTCGAGGCTTCAGTGAGTTATAATCCTACTGCCCTCCAGCTTGGGTGGCAGAGGAAGACCTGGTCTCGATAAATAAATAATTCTCTGCTTCCAACTCCCAGGCACCCTCCCTGCTTGCCTTTTCTTCTCAGCACACGTTATCTTATAATGTGTTACCCATTGTGCTTACTTATCTTGAGGGAAGGTGGTCAGGCAGGGCCGGAGTGGAGAGGGCCTTGAACTTCACGACGAGGCATTTCACCTTGGACGTCTGCCTTCCTCCTCTTCCTCCCAGTGGAAAACTCAGCGTGGGTGTGGAGTTTTGTCTGTTCAGTGCTGCATTCTCAGCCTGTAGAACATCAAGGCACTCCACAAATATTTGTCAGATGACTAACTTAGCGTTTTACATGGAAATGTGTTTGAAATAAGCTCAATACTTTAAAGTCTTTTTGAATGACCATGGTTTTTTTTTTTTTAAGACAGAATCTTGCTCCGTTGCCAGGCTAGAACGCAGTGGTGTGATCTCAGCTCACTGCAATCTCTGCCTCCTGGGTTCAAGTGATTTCCCTGCCTCAGCCTCCTGAGTAGCTGGGACTACAGGTGCGGGCCACCACGCCTGGCTAATTT